GAAAAGTTTAGTGTGTCCCGCGCGCTCATATGACCTTATGCAGTTGCGAGCGCCGTAAAACACTTACTAAAACAAACAAAAAAGAAGATCAAGTAGGAGTGTGTTGTGAAAGAATAAATCAAATCAAATAAATTTATTGCAGGGAGAACGATAACGGAGGAAAAGGTGAGAACAGTCAAACCATGAAAGGGAAAAGAAATATGAGCTTTTTTGGGGGGTTTTTCACTCCCACGCCTCTCACTCTGAAGGCTGTATATTGCAGACTTTTTGCATAGGTGATCACGCTGACCGAGAATAGAACAGTCAGATTAATAATATTGTTTAAGCGAAAGTATGGGCACCAAAACGTACGAATTTTACTCCGGTAGTAAGATACAATCTAACATAATATGTGTTAAAAAAGGAAATTGAGTTCAACAGTTACACTCTTAAAAACAAATAAGACGTATTCATTTGACAATATACGTACGCAAAAGTTTAAGAAAACTGTTACTTTATTGAATTAGTAAATGCCAAGTTAAAGAAACACACACAGACCGAGTCCTTGTGTTAAAAGAACCAGGAACATGTTTACATCATACGTTACTGTTCGTGTGGAAATACAAGTCAATGTGTCAAGGTCTCGGGCATCAAACATTTTAAAGTGCAATTAAAAACGACATATCAGTTCCGGATTTAATTATGAGTAGCCTGAACTTTTTTTGGGCGGAGGGACTTTCTGAAATATTCTGGACCCATATATGAAAATACCGTTGTTCTAAAAAAGAGGACCCATTTTAGGGCTATATAACTCTGTCATCTTTGGAGCAATTTCAATAAAACTTTGAAGAAATGAAATTCAATTACGGGCACATCACATTGTCAAAATGAAATAAATCAACCACCGCGTTCGGATATAATCAATTTTTTAAATATTATCAACCAAAACTGAGTGAAACGAAAAACTTCCCAACTTCTTAATAAAACAGTCATTATTTGTGTATTAAAGAACAAATTTAGGCAAACAAATTATATTGCCAAATAAACCCAAGGAGCTGATGGCTATTCAAATTTCCACTAGAATTTTGAATAATCTCGTGGCATGTTTTTGAGTCGATTCTTTGGACGTCCTGTTCAACATTGAGTTTCAACTGTTCGATTGTTTGTGGCTTGTTACCGTAAACTTTGTTTGTCCCCCCCCCCCCCCCTCCAAGGGTAATGATTTAAAAGGCTCAAGTTTGGAGGAATGTGGTGACAATTCATTTGTAAACTTTCGGCCAATAAGGCGTTCCTTAATAATTCTCACACACTTTTCTTAAAACCACACTAAGGGCCACTTTAGATATTTGGGGTGTGGCCCCATCCAACTAGAACCAGGCCTCTACAGCATAACGCCTTCTCCTCCCTAAACTTCTCCCAAACTTTCTCAGCACGGTGGGATATCCATCTGATGCAACTGTCGTGGTTTTATTGTCTTTGTCCTGAAACCAGTTCAGGCCGATCACACCACTGTAGCTGAACGTTTCTAAGAAGTGTAATTTTGCGTTTTACCCAAATTTGATTGACAATTTAAAAACTTGATATTTCACGGAGGCGTGAACGGATTTTCTTAATATTTGAAAACTTAATGCCCCCCTGGTTGAATTTTATTTCTTCGAAGTTAATAAAAAAATTAGTGCACTAGTGACCGAGTTATTGCCTTATAAGTGGGTCCTTTTTTAAAGACACCCTGCATTGAGAATATCGCGAGGATAGATAGACATCCTCCTGTCCTCCTCCCTCCTCCCTCCCCCCTTCCCTTCTCTCCTCCACCTTCTCTCTTTCTCTCTTTGAACCCCCCCCCCCCCCCAGCGCCAAGTAGAAGATCAACTATTTCAATCCTCCACATTAGTTAAGTAAATAAGCGTAAATTCATGAACACAACACCAGGTGGAGTTAAACATTCCGGGATACCCACTGCAGGTTCTCAATTTTCTTTGTAACTCAAAAGAAACCAGAAGACTGTTACTTTTAAACCTAAATCAACATTCATATACAGGCGGACCACTTTTGATGAACCCACGTAGATAACAGTTGTTTTTATGTATCTCGTTTGTACAATCAAATTAGATAAACTCCCGTGTGATTGTCATGATATCACACTCGACCAAATACCGGCCTACGCCCCTGACAATACATTTCCCGTACAAGGCGGGTCCACTCAAGGGAAGACTTGAGTCTCACCGAATCAAAGCATTTCTCTAAAGAAGAGGCGAAAACAGTAGACTGGGGGCAAGGAAAGGGCAAGGGATAGAAAAGAATTGGGCCCTGTATATGTTTGCCTGACAAATAGCTTAAATTCAGTTCTGTAATGAACGAGCCCTTTCCTGGGCGCAGGACGAAGGTTTGCTTTAGCTGTGTCGAGCCTGATGCCCTGGAAATTCATGTTTGCTCAAAAGTTGCGATTATAATTGATGTAGATTGAGACCCGTAGCCTCTATTTACTTAGTTAATACAACCGACTTAGTCTCCTCATGTCTTGATACTTTGCTGAGACAGAATTGGGAGGTTGGTGCGGCCTATTCAACGTAGACTTGTCAATTAAAATCAAACGCTACAGACGGTGGAGACATTCTCCCTGTGCCCTTTTCTGAGCGCTGTTTAAAAAAAAAAAAAGCACACGTACTTCAGTGAGGCTTACTCAGGTGTCTTCGGCCAACCCACTGGTAAACTCACTCGTTATTTTTGCGTATTTCAAGCTGTGAAGAGAATCCTTGCATGTTCAGGTTCACGAGCCGGATTCTTGAGCTTTCTTTATTCTCACCTTTTGGCTAAGGCAATCGAGATATGAATAGGGACACACCTGTATGTCACATTTTACAACGTGCACCTGTGTCTCAAGTTTGTGTGCAAGTGTAAGTGCAGCCATTGCTGCCCCAGCTATTGATTGGTTGGGGGTACGTATACATCTATGCATTCAAGAGGGAACAATACAACCGACTTTGAAATGGTCGGGTGGCTGTGGATCTTTGTCTTTCCCCTGGGAGAGAGAGAAAATTTATTGAAGAATACTACCAGAATAAAGGAGCAGTGTCCTTCTATTACCTCTTGTTTTCCTCAGTTACCTTTTTCTCCCTTTCGTTGTGGGGGTGCGGTTGGATATTTTGTATGCTTTCTCGTGCTCTTGAGCATTATGACATTAGAGCGATTTTTCAATGAGTGTTTGTTGTATTTTCTGTTTTCAAAAGACACTTAATTATGCACTTCCTCAGTATGAACAGTCCGATAAACTCGTGATATTTGTGTGTTTGTGTGTGTGCGTGTGTGTGTGTGTGTGTGTGTATGTGTGTGTGTGTGTGTGTGT